ATGGTCATTTATGGACCTAATAGGTATCTAACGCCGTTTGCACTTGCAGAATGTAGGCACCCTATATATAGAAAGGAGCAAACCAGTGATATTTTAGGGAGCAGGTGGCAGGGCCCATGACTTACATCATAGGAGCCTACACAACACAAAACACTGCTGCTGTATGTTGGTTTTATTTTATTTGTTTTTTATCTTATATTTTGGAAATGTACATCCAGTTGTTGTTTTTTCTTTAAATCCCCCCGCCCGCCCGCAAGAGAGTGGGACCCTAAACTTGTTTAGCTTATATGTAAATCTGGCACTGCTATGCTGCATCAACAGAAGTCCATAGTCCCCGATCAAGGGAATTAATAGTACCACTCAATCAATTTATCATTTCTTGTGTTTGACTAAAAGCTGCCTCAAATCCAGCCACAAAACCAGCAAATCCAACTAAGAAAGACCCCGAAATAAGCAACCATTTACTATAAATCAAATTAATGAATCCCCTGCAGAGTTTTTTATGTGACTAACACAAATACGGTACTTTTAGCGGCTTTTGCAAATAAGGCTGTTTTTATACCGTATGTGACAAGCAGGTGACAGTCAGATAATTGTACCACTCTATTAAGCCTGTGCTAAAACCACACCAGGAATACTGTGTCCAGTTCTGGGTGCAACAGTTTAAGAAGGAATTAAGTACATTTCTGAGCACAGTACAAAGTTTTGGTGCTGACTTTTAAAGCCCTAAACGGTCTTGGCCCTGTATACCTGAAGGAGTGTCCCCACACCCATCATTCAGCCTCAGGGACGCGGACTTATAAAAAATATTGGGGGGGCCCGGGAAAGCTCATGAAATAAATTAAATAAGCTCAATGAATTTGCAAATAAAGTGGCTCCAGCCCTAAATAGGGCAAGCCACGCCCCCCAGCCAGGCCGATCTGGCTGGCTGGAGGTGTGCCAGTCCGGGATTCCACCTGTTCTCGCGGGCGACTTGAAACCGCCAGGAGGAAAGGAAATTTCCCCCCGGCCAGTGCCTCTGGCAAGTGGCTGGGGTGCTGCGAAGCAGCGAGGCAGGAAGCACCCCCGCCCCCGGCGCGCGACGATTATTGGGGGTGCTTGAGCCCCCCCAAAAATTTTTTTGAGGGGCTCGAGCCCCCTCAGAGCCCCATGGGTCGGCGCCTATGTTCAGCCTTGGACACTGAGGTCCAGCACTCTGAAGGGTCTTTCTGGTGGTTCCCTCACTGCAAGAAGTGAAGTTTACAGGAATCAGGCAGCAGGTCTTGTTGGTAGTGGCACCCGCCCTGTGGGAATGTCCTCCCATCAGATGCCAAGGAAAATAAAACAACTACAGTGGTACCTCGGGTTACATACGCTTCAGGTTACATACGCTTCAGGTTACAGACTCCGCTAACCCAGAAATAGTACCTCGGGTTAAGAACTTTGCTTCAGGATGAGAACAGAAATCATGCTCCGGCGGCATGGCAGCAGCGGGAGGCCCCATTAGCTAAAGTGGTGCTTCAGGTTAAGAACAGTTTCAGGTTAAGAACAGACTTCCAGAATGAATTAAGTACTTAACCCGAGGTACCACTGTATCTGACTTTTAGAAGACGTCTGAAGGCAGCCCTGTTCAGAAAAGTTTTTAATGGTTGATGTTTTATTATGTTTTTGATATTTTGTGAGGAGCTGCCCAGAGTGGGAGACATATTATTATTATTATTATTATTATTATTATTATATTGATAAGCTGGAATGTGTGCAGAGGAGGGTGGCTAAGATCATAGGCGCCGACTCCATGGGGCTTGAGGGGGCCCGAGCCCCCTCAAAAATTCGTTTGGGGGGGCTCCGCCCCCCCAATAATCTCCGGCGCCCCTCCAGCAGAGCCCATCGCGGCCCTCCACGCGCCCAAAAGCACAGGAGAGGGCGGCTGCATGCCTCCTGCCCTCCCTCCGAGCAAAAAGCTGCCACCCAGATTTCCTTGAGCTGATTAATAGCGCAGCACGCTCTCCTATTCGCTCACGAAGGAGCGCGCCACTTTATGTTGCATATTCATGAGCGTTATTTATTATTCATGAGCTTCCCGGGCCCCCCCCCCAATATTTTTTATGAGTCCGCTCCCTGGCTAAGATGATCAAGTCTAGAAAGCAAGCCTCATGAGAAACGGTTGAAAGAGCTTGGGTTATGTTTAGTCCATGGAAGAAGTGGAGACCTGAGGACGAGATAATGGCCATCCCTTCAAATAAGCTTAAGGTTTGTCACATGGCTAGGACTTCGAACCAATGGCTTCAAGTTACAAGAAAGCAGATTCCCAACTAAACATCAGGAAGAACTTTCTGATGGTAAGAGCTGTTCGACCGTGGAACAGACTGCCACAAGAGGTTGTGGACTCTCCTTCCTTGCAAGTTTTAAAGCAGATATTGGATGGCCATTTGTCATGGACTCTTTAGGTGAGATTCCTGCATTGAAGGGGCTTGGATTAGATGACCCAACTCTACAGTTCTGTAGAAGAAATGGCTCTCTCTGTATATGATGCAGTACATGTGAACTGAACGATGAGCTGATTATCTGGTGACCTGAAGCAGTCAACCCACCGACAAATTTGGTTGGGCCTTTTAAAGCTCCTTTAAAACAGGAGCAAGTTTAACAGTCCTTCATCTGATGCAATGATCGGCTGGGGAGGGAGGCTGAGAAGCAGCTGGGAAGGTAGCCTTGGAAAAATCGGGCCCGTCTGTCGATATGAGCAGCAACGCCTCTATTCAAGCACTGGTAGCTCAGCACTGTGTGAGTGTCTGGAGGCGGTTGGAGGATGGATGGCGGCTAACAGATTGAGGTTGAATCCTGACAAGGCAGAAGTACTCTTTTGGGGGGACAGGAGGTGGGCAGGTGTGGAAGACTCCCTGGTCCTGAATGGGGTAACTGTGCCCCTGAAGGACCAGGTGCGCAGCCTGGGAGTCATTTTGGACTTGCAGCTGACCATGGAGGCGCAGGTCAATTCTGTGTCCAGGGCAGCTGTCTATCAGCTCCATCTGGTACGCAAGGTGAGACCCTACCTGCCCGCAGACTGTCTCGCCAGAGTGGTGCACGCGCTAGTTATCTCTTGCTTGGACCACTGCCATGCGCTCTATGTGGGGCTACCTTTGAAGGTGACCCGGAAACTACAATTTATCCAGAATGCTGCAGCTAGACTGGTGACTGGGAGTGGCCGCCGAGACCATAGAACACCGGTTTTGAAAGACCTACATTGGCTCCCAGTACGTTTCCGAGCACAATTCAAAGTGTTGGTGCTGACCTTTAAAGCCCTAAACGGCCTCGGCGCAGTATACCTGAAGGAGCGTCTCCACCCCCATCGTTCTACCCAGACACTGAGGTCCAGCTCCGAGGACCTTCTGGGGGTTCCCTCGCTGGGAGAAGCCAAGTTACAGGGAACCAGGCAGAGGGCCTCCTCGGTAGTGGCACCCGCCCTGTGGAACGCCCTCCCACCAGATGTCAAAGAGAAAAATAACTACGAAACTTTTAGAAGACATCTAAAGGCAGTCCTGTTTAGGGAAGCTTTTAATGTTTAATAGGTTATTGTATTTTAGTGTTTTGTTGGAAGCCGCCCAGAGTGGCTGGGGGGACCCAGCCAGATGGGCAGGGTATAATAAATAAATAAATAAATAAATAAATAAAAAATAAAATAAAATAAAATAAAATAAATAAAATAAAATAAAATAAAATAAAATAAAATAATAAGTCCAGATGTGGTTAACTGCAGTTATTCAGTGACGACTGCAATACGCTCTTTACATGGCAAGAGGCTCGCTCCTTGATTATTGCACTTTTCCCAGGACTGAGTCCTGGCGTTGAAAAGACGTTTGGGGATAAAGGCTTTGACTCAAATGGAGATGTGGAATCCGTCAATGCCAGGGGCCGTGCTGTCAGTGGTACAGCAATTTCTCCTCTCTTTATAATTGCCTCAACAATCTCTGTTTAATCTCCGCAGCTCATCCATCAGTGGAATGAGATCTGGGGATAAAGCAAGGATATGCACCACCAAATTCGAGCCATTTGTAATAAACCCTCTGCTTGCACTCCAGCCCGGTGTACATAAATCTCTGGGTTTGTGGTTGTTGTTGTTGTTTTTAAAAAGCCCACAAAGACACACGGAGGCATGCAGGCTTTCTCGCAAATATCAGGCTTTTAATAAAATCTTGCCCATTAGCTCCGAACAGAAGGGATTTTTGCCATCTGTTGAGCCGCAGACACCAAGATTGACAAGGTTATTATTGCTGAGACACAAATATTCGCTCTTTGTCCTTTATCTTTTCTGTATCTTCTAGCCGAGGGGGGAAAAATACAAGGGGTCTGTTATTGCTGAAATACATCTTATTTAATGCTGCTTGCCTCAAATCAGCGGCAATCATGAGAAATTGCAAGGTCAGGGAGAGTGGAAAGCGAGATGAAAAGAGGAATTTATGGCAATGGAAGCTTGTGTTGAAGAGGCGAGAGACTAGACTGTTTGGGCGAGATGTTTATTAAGAGCCCGGGCACCTCCAGTGCCCTCAGGATACAAAGGGGAACAGATTTCTCCTGCTTAGAAAGAAAGAAGGCAATAAGATTCCAGCAATTGAAGCTGCTATGGGCTATTTAAAAGTCCCCCATCAAGATATACAGAAGCAACAACAAAGGGACAAAGAGAAATCGCCCACAGGATGCAGAGAAAGGGGGAGCAGAAAAGCATGCTGAGGATGCCGTAATTAGAGTTAATCAGACATATTAAAGGTAAAGGGACCCCTGGCCATTAGGTCCAGTCGTGACCGACTCTGGGGTTGCGACGCTCATCTCGCTTTATTGGCTGAGGGAGCCAGCGTACAGCTTCTGGGTTAGCATGACTAAGCCGCTTCTGGCGAACCAGAGCAGCGCACGGAAACAGCGTTTACCTTCCCGACGGAGCGGTACCTATTTATCTACTTGCACTGGCCTGCTTTTGAACTGCTAGGTTGGCAGGAGCAGGGACTGAGCAATGGGAGCTCACCCCGTCATGGGGATTCGAACCGCCGACCTTCTGATCGGCAAGTCCTAGGCTCTGTGGTTTAACCCACAGCGCCACCCGCATATTAATTTCATACAAATGATATTAGTAAATTACTGGGTGGCTGAAGAGCACAACTAGAATTCTGTGTCCAGTTCTGGGCGCCACAATTTAAGGATATTGACAAGCTGGAATGCTGGCAGAGGAGGTCAGCCAAGATGATCATTCCCAGAATTTGCTGATGAAAACCTCGACAATTTAAAATATGAATTCAAAACTACAATAAGGTTTTTAGTGTGGGTATACCCAGGGGCGTACAAAGCGGGGCGCGGGGAGTTGTGGCCCACCCCAGTGTCATCCCTGAGTGGGTGACAAAATATCACACCGCAGGGGGTGGCACTTACTGGGGGGCCTTGTCCCTCCTGGGAGGGACGCAGTGGCTCGGGGCCCCGAACTGCCCAAAACGGCAGCATGGGGCCTGCGTCCACCAGGCGGACTCCGTGGGCAGCTCGCTACGGTGCCCCCGTGGGCGGATCGCCCTGCCCCATAAGCGGATCATCCTTCCCCCGCCACCCTGGGTGCCGGAGCAGCTAGCTAGCCCCCTGGGTATGCCCTCCTGAGATCATGATTTTCTTATGCTAGTGTCGGGGACTGTGCTGAGGAGGGCTGCACTGAGGATAGTTCGGAGCCCCCCCTCCCCCGGATCCTGAATCTTCCCAGGAGCAGAAGGACAGTATAGATTTGGAACAGTGGTTTGCAGAGGGGCATAGTTCAGAAGGCAGAAGCTGGGAAATCCTGGATGGGGAACAGCTAAGAGAAGATGCGCCGGGAGAGAGAGTGAACAGATTCACTGTCTCTGGAAAGCATCCATCCGCTCAGCCCAAGGTCAAGAAGAGCAGATAAGGTGGCAGCATAGAAAGCACAGTGGTTATGAGCTCAGGTTACAAGACACAGTAGTGACGTGGGTGAGTAGGGAGGAAGTGGGTGGAACCCTTAATTGGGAGCACCGCCATTCCTAGGAATTCTTTGTTCTCTCGCTGTGTTCATTAAAGTTTCTAACTGGTAAGAAGACTCCTTTTCCTTTGTTCTGCTTATCTACTGCCAAGGGGTGGGGGGTGCGGGGGGCTGTGATTCCCTGAAACCTGACAGCTAGAGTCTGTCAGCAAGCAGCATTTTGAAAAGTCACATGGGCAAGGAAGGTGCTTTTTCCCACCCAATCCTCTGTTTGGAGGTGAGACAAAGGCGAGGCATTCCTAGTCCACAGAGCTGGATCCTGAGCATAAGGTTAGCTGCCTCGTCCATCCCACTGCGTAAACAAGAAGGCTGAGCCTGTCTCCTTTAAGAGACCAACCCACAAGCCTTATCATCCGTGTCGATGAGCTTGGGAATGGTGTGGACAGAGTAGGTCTTCAAGGACTGCTTCTTCTGACGTCCATGCTCTGCTTCTTTCTCAGGATCACGGTCTCCTCTGAGGATGGCAATTCGGTCTGCCGTGCTCCTGGGTCGCGGGCACAAAAGATAGTCGTATAGCATCATGGCTACGATGGCACCAGCTAGCGGCCCGATCCAGAAAATCTGTGCAGAGAGAAAGAAAGAATGCTTGGTCAAAGCTAGGGCTAGGACTTTGCCAGCAGCTGCTGTGTGGGTCTAGCTGCAAGGGCCTCGCTTTGAGATATGCTCCTTATCCCATCTCTTTCAGAACAGAGGCAGAGTCTTCTCTTACCCAGTGGTTAGCAAAGTTCCCCATGACCAGAGCTGGGCCAAAGGATCTAGCCGGGTTCATAGAGCAGCCAGTGTAGTAGATCTAGGGAAACACAAAGAGGTGGCTGAGAGGAGGTTAGGAAACCAAATACATGCCCTGCAACATTTCTCCAATGAAAATAGGGACGTCCTTAATAATAATACTAATACTAATAATTATAATGGCAATTTTATTATTTATACCCCGCCCCTCTGGGCTGCCCCAGCTGCTCTGGGTGGCTTCCAACATGTACAAAAACATAAAACATTAAAAAAAAAACCTATACATAGTTGCCTTCAGATGTCTTCTAAAGGTTGTGCAATCGTACCTTGGAAGTTGAACGGAATCTGTTCTGGAAGTCCGTTCGACTTCCAAAACGGAAATCAAAGTGCGGCTTCTGATTGGCTGCAGGAAGCACCTGCAGCCAATCGGAACCCATGTCGGACGTTTGGGTTCCAAAAGAACATTCAAAAACCGGAAACTCCCTTCCGGGTTTCGATTGTTTGGGAGCCAATTTGTTCAGGAGCCAAGGCGTTTGAGATCCAAGGTACGACTGTATAGTTATTTATCTCCTTGGCTTGGGTACAGCATAACTCCATACCCTCCAGCATTTTTTGGATGAAAAATCAGGTGATGTCCTAAGGGAAGGCAGGACATTCTGGGATTAAATCATAAACCAGGACGGCTTCTGTAAATCTGGGACTGATTCTGGAAAATAGGGACATCTGGAGGATCTGCAAGCAGTTTTCACTGCATGTGAGGATTTTGCGTTTGTGATTTTCTGCCCCAGCTGTGCAGAGAACTGGGCACAGCCCAATTTCCTATTGTTCATGACCTCATGAAATATCCTCCAACACCCAATACCCATTGCAGCCTAACACCGCCCCCCCCAAAGCAGGCTTGGAGCTTGCCAGAACATCCTTCCAACTGTAATATTGTCATTTGATTTGATTTCACTTTTAATTTGTACACCCCCTTTCTATATTGCTAAACACAACGCGGTATACGGCAACAAAATACACAACAAAGAACGCACACCTTATAATCTGATCCGATACAAACAGGCATAATAAAACATAACTACTAAAGCATGGACTACTGCAATGTGCTCTAGATGGGGCTACCTTTGAAGGTAGCCCGGAAAATACAACTAATACAGAATGCAGCAGCTAGACTGGCAACTGGGAGTGGCCGCTGAGACCATATAACACCAGTCCTTAAAGAACTATATTGGAACCCAGTATGTTTCTGAGCACAATTCGAAGGGTTAGTGCTGACCTTTAAAGCCCTAAACGGCCTCGGCCCAGTATACCTGAAGGAGTGTATCCACCCCCGTCGTTGAGCCCGGACACTGAGGTCCAGCTCCGAGGGCCTTCTGGCAGCTCCCTCACTGCGAGAAGTGAGGTTACAGGGAACCAGGCAGAGGACCTTCTCGGTAGTGGCGCCCGCCCTTTGGAACGCCCTCCCATCAGTTGTCAAGGAAATAAACAACTATGTATCTGACTTTTAGAAGACATCTGAAGGCAGCCCTGTATCAGGAAGTTTCTAATGCTTGTTTTATCATGTTTTTAATATTCTGTTGGGAACCGCCCAGAGTGGCTGGGGAAACCCAGCCAGATGGGCAGGGTATAAATAATTTATTATTATTATTATTATTATTATTATTATTATTATTATTATTATTTCAAAAATCCATGTAAAATTACATAATTCGTGTCATATGGTTTCTCTGGCGCCTGCCATAGCTAAGGCTTTCCTTTTCACTCAGTTTCCCTGATAAGCATGATGATTCCCATCTGGTGATCTGCGGACCCCCTCATAACACGCCTGGGGGGTCTGTAGCACCATTCACACACACACACACCACACACATATATGAATGACCCTGTTCCACGCCATGGTCAGCGTTGATAAGACCCTGGACTGGAGTTGCTACAATACACAGCCTAAAATGTGAGATCCAATTGCAAGTTTACAGCTGAGGATCTTTGAGGGAAGAGCTAAGGGTTTTGATATAAGCGATTGATTTTCGCAAGAGGAACCCGTGATTTTCACAAGAGATACCCACCCCTATCAGGTGTCCTGCAGTGACTGACAATCCAATGGACAATGCCGGGAAGCCAACATCCGTCCTGCGGCTGTCGGTGGACGCAAAGACACAGAGGACCAGCTGGAGTGTGAGGAACATCTCAATGGTCACAGCCTGTCCTGCCGACGTGGTGTTCTGGGGCTGAAAAAGAAGGGCAGGTTGGTGAGAAACGTCCCTAACTGCACTTTTGGAGGCTGAAGGTCTACTTGACTGTCCGGGTGGACTTTTGAGTGGGTCCAACCAGCTATATCGGTTGCGAGGGGCTGACACGGTGAACCGCTTCCACAATGTAGCACCATCGGCTTCAGTGAGGACATGGGGTACAGCAGAGGTGTCCAACTTCCAAGAGACTGCGATCTGCTCCCACTATAAATAAACTGGCGGTTACCTACCCATTGGGTTGACCAAAGAATTATGGCAAGAGAAACAGATGGACTATGCAGAATTGGCAAAACTGACACATAAACTACGGGACAAGGATAAATGTGACTTTAAAGATGAATGGGAACCTTTTACAAAGTACTTAAAGAAGCAACAAAGTGAACTGGACTCCTTGGCAGGTTTTGAATAAACTGGGGGAGGGGGGAAATGGGGAAAAAAATTAAGGATGGTATGTTGTAAGATAATATGCTTTGTTCATATTCCTAATAACATATATATATATATATATATATATATATATATATATATGCTTTCGTAGATTTTCACGGGTACAGGAATGCAGGTTTTGGTGTCCTCGGGTGTCTTCCCGTGTAAAAGTTGGGGTGTCTAGGCGACGTTTCGACGAGGTCTCACTCGTCATCTTCAGGCTGGTGCTTTCGGCTTCTTGTTACTGGAACAGAGCAGGATCTCAGTGTTTGAGTTCCTATAAATACTGTTGAGGGGGTGTGGTGTATAGCCTCCAATGTTCTGGGCAGAGAGGAAGTTCCCAGGCTAGTGTGCCTTTTCTTCTTTTGTTCCTTAATTACTTGAGGGATATCTTGAGTGATTTCTTGAGTGATATCCTGAGTACCACTTAGGTGGGTCATTAGGTGTGGATTAGTTGTTAAAGCCTTCGTGTCTTGACCTCTTGAACTTTGTGAAGAGTTTTTCTGAGAAGATGGCTGTACTGCATTTAGTTGTGCTCTGGCTTGGCTTCGTGTATAGGGGCGAGCTGTGGTTTTGTGTCCTGTGCCAGCCAGATCTGTGTAGGGATTGCAGGGGGGTGCAGCATCCGGAGGTGCCACCATGGTTTGGCTACTGGATGGTGTCTGTAATTTATCTGTGGAGAGGGTCTGGGTTTGGGTCTGGTGTGGTTGATTGGTGATGGCGTTCTGTGTGCCTCTGGATCTGGTGTCGGTTTTTGTGGGGAGGGCTAATTTCCAGATGTCTGGCAGGCGGGATGTGTCGTCACGCTTGTTCATGTTGTGAGGGTGTTTCTCTATCTCGATGGCTTCCATGATTATTCTCTTGTGGTGATGTTCCATGTTAGAGAGCAATTTGGAATCTGCAAAATTAATTTCGTGTCCTGTTTCTTTCATGTGTTGGAAAAGAGAGGAAGTTTTTTCTTCTTTTTTGACGGCATTCTTGTGTTCTGTGATACGTGCATTTATTCGTCTGTTTGTTTGTCCAATGTACGTGGCTGGGCAGACTCTAACATGGATATATATGGATTGACTAAAGTTGTTGAGCTTTGGGGGGGAGGATGACCAAAGTTTTTTTAGGGAAAGATTTAGAAAAGATTTTCAGCAAATCCAAAAAAACTAGTTTTAGTTTAAATAATAATACAGTGGTATCTCGGGTTAAGTACTTAATTCATTCCGGAGGTCCACTCCTAATGGGACCTTCTGCTGCCACTGCGCCGCCAGAGCACAATTTCTGTTTTCATCCTGAAGCAAAGTTCTTAACCCGAGGTACTATTTCTGGGTTAGTGGCGTCTGTAACCTGAAGCGTATGTAACCTGAGGTACCACTGTAATCATAATGAAAAAAGGTGTGTTCTTTGTAATTTTGCAAAATATACTCGTTAACCGCACGAAAAGTACTCCCTGGTGTTTTTATTTAACGTCCTAGTTTTCAAATGACTGGGGATTTTGACCAATTTTTCTGAGCACTTGGGGTCAAAAGAAAGCAATTTAAAACCACTGTTGTCGAGACCTTTCATTCCGAATCTGCTAGACAGAGCCAGACAGAGATTATGGTGGCCGGTGGGTGCATAGCTGTCAACCGTCCCTTATTTGGCGGGAAACTCCCTTATCCCAGCGCCGTGTCCCGCTCCTGTCCCTTATTGATGATGTCCCTTAAGTTTCCCAGGTTTCAAAGGTCTCTTCCTGGGCGTCTCTGCCTGGGGCCTCCCCTCTGCCTGTCACCGCCGCCCCTGCTAGGCCGTACTGCAGCTGCGCTGCCGAAGGACCCAGATGAGATGGGCAGCCTGGCGCAGCCTATGAATTGCTGAGGAGCCTTGAGAGGAGAGCGAGGGCAACCATAGAGAAAGCAGTTCAGAGAGAGGAGGAGGAGGCGCGGGAGGTGTTTCAAGGGCTAACCATAGAGGGGGAAAGCAGAGGAAGGACCGCAAGCGCTTCTCCCATAAATTTGTAGTGGTAGACTAGCATAGATGGTCTGATCTGCGGGTTTACTTCAGGTGCTATTTGCCCCCCTCCTTCCTCCCGCCCCGCCTGATGGAACTGAGAGCTGCAGATGGATCACGAGATAAAAGATACAGAACTGCAGCAGCATCTTCGTAGCTTGGACTTGGTTTTGCACGAAAAGTGGTTGCTGCTTGTAGTTATTTAATTGCAGTGTTTCATCAGCTGGTGTCTTGAGCAGCAACCTCTGGAAACGAAGGGCTAAAAACCAGCGCTGCTCTCCAAAATGATCTGGTCCCTTTTAACTTCGTATTTCAGCTGGTTGACTAAAATCCCTTATTTTGGCTGCTGACCCCTTATTTTCGAGGCTGCTGGTCCCTTATTTTCAAATCTGTAAGTTGACAGCTATGGGTGGGTGTCCTGCCCCCACGCCCACCCCCAAATCCTGGCTATGCCCATGGTCACAGGGTAGTTCTCAGCAAAGCAAATCTGAGTTGAAGTGAATGGAAATTGAACAGGAGAGGAAAAATCAAGGATCCAGTTCAGGGCATGGGAGGGGCCCGGCTTGCCTTGCATAACTGGGCAAGAGGACAAGAGGCGACGTCTGCTCTGCAAAAGCTGGTATTAGCGAGAGCCGAGACAAAAATATACCAAAGATTTCGGGGTCGGAGATCACTGGCGGTGAAGAACAGAGAGAAGCAACCTTCGGACTGGGCCCTCTGTGACTTCTCTTCAAAACAACAAAGCCGAGGCGAGAGAGTTCTGTTTCATTTTAGCTTCGCCCAGCATTTAGAATTGCTTCCTCCAGGCAGATTCTGCCAACCGACTGATAATTCAGTCTCATAACACACTTCCAGAAAAAACAAGCCAGTGGCTGAGGTTAACCGAAGGGATTTTAAAGAGAGAGAGAGAGAAGGCCATAATTTGAAATGTTTAAAAGTTTGATCAGATCGGTTGCAAAGGCTTAAGTCTGAGGCACAGTTTATTACTATGATCAATTAATTAAATTTGTATACAGCCCTATGTCAGGGGAATTCACGACATTAAATCACAATATAATATGGCAACATGATATCAAATAACAACAACAACAAATGTAGAAAGCTGAACTGAAAACAGGAAAACGAGAAACTGGGAAAACTGGACGTGGCATAGTATTTTAATATTCTGTTGGAAGCCGCCCAGAGTGGCTGGGGATAAATAATAAATTATTATTATTATTTATATCCAGCCTTTTTCCTTGACAGGGACTCAAGGTTGCTTACAGGTAAAATAAGAACAGCTAAAAACATAGGGAAACCATTAAAAAAATTTAATAGAATTAAAACTATCGATCTATGAAATATGAAGAACATAAAGATAATTACAAGAAAAACTGTGAAGAACCAGGCTTTTGTTAAAAGTTGTCAGTTCCCAAAAGCCTGCTGCAATAAGAAAGTCTTCAGCTGCCAGTGGAAGGACAAGGAGGGAGCTAGTCTAACTTCTCTAGGGTGTTCCAGAGTCTGGGAGCTGCCACCGAGAAGGCCCTGTCCTGCTTCTCTACCAATCGTGCCTGTGAGGGTGGCAGGACCGAGAGGAGGAGGAGGAGGAGGAGGAGGAGGAGAAGAGGAGGAGGAGGAGGAGAGGGAGGAGGAGTTTGGATTTGATATCCCGCTTTATCACTACCCGAAGGAGTCTCAAAGCGGCTAACAATCTCCTTTCCCTTCCTCCCCCACAACAAACACTCTGTGAGGTGAGTGGGGCTGAGAGACTTCAGAGAAGTGTGACTAGCCCAAGGTCACCCAGCAGCTGCATGTGGAGGAGCGGAGACGCGAACCCGGTTCCCCAGATTACGAGACTACCGCTCTTAACCACTACACCACACTGGCCCTCTCAGAGAAGGGCCTGCTCTGAAGATCTCACAACCAGGGCAGCTTTGGATGAGGGAATTTGGTCTACCAGATTTTACCAGGGCTCTCTGCCCCCCAACACAAACCTGCGTTTAATGCAAGGATGCAGTCCCAGAACACACAAAGCAATGGTAAAAGGAGTGTCTCTGAACATGTGCAAAGCACATTTCTCTTACCATTCAGCAACGTCACCCCCACTACACTGCACATTTCACAAGGGGAGAGACAGCAGTTTGCAGGAGAGTCTATCTTTTAGTAGATCTTTTAATTTCCAGATTTTGACACCAGACCTTTCAGAAATCCGTTTTCCAGGGACAGTCCCAGATTTACAGATGCCGTCCCGGTTTCTGATTGGACCCTGGAATGTCCTGCTTTTCCTTAGGACGTCCCTATTTTCATCGGAGAAATGTTGGAGAGTATGATAACCCTATGAAAATCGGAGAAAAGTTGGAGGATGTGGAGTTATGTGACCCCCCGAGCCAAGGAGATAAGTAACTATACAACATTTAGAAGACACCTGAAGGCAGCCCTATATAGGGATGTTTTTAAATAAATGCTTAATGTTTTATTATGTTTTTATATATGTCGGAAACCACCCTGAGTGGCTGGGGCAACAGTCAGATGGGTGGGGTATAAATAGTATAGTATAATATATAATAATATAATATATATAATATAATATAATATAATATAATATAATATAATTATAATATAATATAATATAATATAATATAATATAATAGTATAATATAATAACATAACAATAATTGTTGTTGTTGTTGTTGAATAGTGCATAAATAATAAAATTATTATTAATAATAATATTATTATGGAATAGGACGGTCCTTATTTTCATCGGAGAAATCTTGGAGGGAATGTGACACTAACCATATACCTGGTACAAGCACATCACCATCAGCCCCAGTCGTAAGAGAATCAGATGTCCAAAAATCTCCCGTCGTTCCTATGCATATTAATAAATGCACATGCACGAGCTCTTCATCACTCTAGATTACTGAAACAGACCAACAGAGTCTCAAGCTACTGTGCAGGGAATGAGAGACAGTCAATGAAGGCAGCTGCTTCTGTTGCTACCAAGGGGAAAGGATTCTGGCAAAGCAATAATAGCAAAGAAGACACACAGCTCCTTTCTCCATGGATATGGCTGCTCCAAGGCACCCAAAGCCCTGCTTGGATGCACACATCCTTACAGTGACCCATCAAGAGTCTCCAAAATCTGCAGAAGAAAATGCGCATTTCTTTTATTTTAAAATCACAGCAGGGTTGAATGGGCCTGGGCTTGTGCAGGAATGCCAGAATTCGGTGACGTTTTCAATTAGATGGACGGAATTCAAATTCAAGCCCATATGAATAACTGCAAAACTGAAAGATGTTGCTGTGGCAACATTTCAAAAAAGACCGGAGAAGGTAAGGTTTGGTTTTCAAGTAAGATGGAAAATGGTTGGCACAGCCAAATAAATCCAGAGGTCCTTTGGACTCCAGGGTTATATAGTGGTACCTCGGTTTCCGAGCGTCTCTGAAGCCAAACGTTTTGGAACCCGGACGCTGAAAACCCGGAAGTAAATGCTTCCGTTTTCGAACGCACCTCGGAAGTCAAACGGCTTCCACTGCGTGTTTTTCAATTTTCTCCATTGAACTTTAAACCAGCCCTTTGTGCCTTGGTTTTTGAACGTTGCGAAAGTCAAACGTTCTTCCGGAACGGATTATGTTCAAGAACCGAGGTACTACTGTATGTTGTCATTCATCCTACAAAGCACATTTCCTTTGCACACTGCCTGGCAATCTCCTTTTGCGGCCTATTCTTCTTCATCATCATCATCATCATCATCATCCATCAACTATTTATTATTATTATTATTATTATTATTATTATTATTATTATTATTATTATTATATTTATACCCCACCCATCTAACTGGGTTGCCCCAGCCACTCTGGGCAGCTTCCAACAGGTATAAAAACATAATAAAACATTAAACTTTTCTTAAAAAAAAACTTTCCTATACAGAGCTGCCTTCAGATGTCTTCTAAAAGTTGTAGAGTTACTCATCTCTTTGGCTTGGAGGTCACATAACTCCGTACCCTCCAACATTTCTGCGATGAAAATAGGGACGTCCTAAGGAAAAGCGGGACATTCCGGGATCAGATCAAAACCTGGGACGGTGTCTGTAAATCCGGGGCTGTCCCTGGAAAATAGGGGCGCTCGGAAGGTCTGGCCTCCCCATCAGTGATCATTCTCAGACTCACCGCATTGACCCCCAGGCTTCCGTGGACCTGACTGGGGGTCAGTTCATACAGAAGAGCAGCTCCCACCACTGCTCCGAGGAGCTGAGCAAGGACGTAGCAAACAGCTTTGCAAAGGGAGATGCGAGAGCCCAGCAGGAACGCGGTGGTCACTGCAGGGTTGAGATGGGCGCCGCTGACGTGGCCCAAGCATTGGGCCAAGGTGCCGATAGCCAGGCCAAAGGCGAGAGCGACTTGCAGGACCGAAGGGGAGGCCAGGGGCCAGGGCAGGGCTGAGCCCAGGCCTACGAAAACAAAGACCGTCGTGCCAATTAATTCGGCCAGGAAGGCGCGAGTCAGGGCCCTCGAACACAGTTCCCGCTTCATCGTGGCAGAAGGCCGCAGGAATCCACGCTTGCCTCTGCGGCCGCTCTGAGCCCGCAGGCAGGGGAGAGAGTCTGGGAAGCCTTTATATGTGTCCTTGCCCCAGGCTGGAACGGACCTGGCCCAGCCTCGTAAGAAGCGGAGCTTCAGGTGGGGAAATTTTGGAGCGTCTCCCCATGAGTCAGGCAGAGGCCTGTCTGAGCCTGTGATGGACCCTCCCATCCACAGGGATTTTATAAAACACAGGCTGTCAGCTTCTGAACTGATGTTCCCTGCCAAGGGAAGCCGCTATCCAAAACACGAAGGGAGTAATTGTGCCGCACCCGAGTCCCATTTGTCATTTTTTAATGCAATTATATCCCATCCGCCCTCTAAGGAAGCCAGAACATTATAGAGGGAGTTATCCCATTTCCCTCCTTCACAACAACCTTGTGAAATACAGTGGTACCTCGGGTTACATACGCTTCAGGTTACAGACTCCGCTAACCCAGAAATAGTGCTTCAGGTTAAGAACTTTGCTTCAGGATGAAACCCAAGAATTGCCAATGATAGAAGAATGGCAGATGAAGATGATGGATTTTTCGGAGCTAGCCGACCTAACCGGAAGAGTCCGCGACCAGAAGGAGGAGGAGTATCAGGAAGAGTGGATTAAATTTAATGATTACTTAGTTAAATATGTTAAGTTAAATTAACTGAAAACAGCTTGCAGATAATTAATTGGCTTAGGATTTTATTTATGTTAAGTGATGAATTAATATGTTTAATTTCATAATCTGAAGATCTAAGGTTGTTAATGTTTAAGTTAAATTTTATAAGAACTGTGATTTGGAAAACCGTTAAAAGGATATCCAATGAAATTCAACTAAGGGGAAGCGAGGAAGTCACTTAACAATGTTAATAAGTGTAATTTTCAATAAGGCTATGATTTATGTTTGTTTGTCTTATGTGTTTGTTTGTTTGTTTATAATGTTGTGAAAACCAATAAACAAAAATTTTTTTGGGGGAAAAAGAACCTTGCTTCAGGATGAGAACAGAAATCATGCTCCAGCGGCTCAGTGGCAGCAGGAGGCCCCATTAGCTAAAGTGGTGCTTCAGGTTAAGAACAGACCTCCGGAATGAATTAAGTTCATAACTAGAGGTTGTTGTTGAGTCTTTTAGTCGTGTCCGACTCTTTGTGACCCCCTGGACCAGAGCACGCCAAGCACTCTTGTCTTCCACTGCCTCCCGCAGTTTGGTCAAACTCATGCTGACGATGGCAGGGAAACTGAAGCAGAAGAAAGCGTGGAAGTAACATGATGCTTTTTAGTAGGTGGGAGGTCTGAATTAGCTCTGCCTAGGGAGTAGTTGGTAAGGGACGCAGGTGGCACTGTGGGTTAAACCACAGAGCCTGGGGCTTGCCGATCAGAAGGTCGGCGGTTCGAATCCCCGTGACACGGTGAGCTCCTGTTGCTCGGTCCCTGCTCCTGCCAACCTAGCAGTTGGCAGGAGCACATCAAAGTGCAAGTAGATAAATAGGTACCGCTCCAGCGGGAAGGTAAATGGCGTTTCCGTGTGCTGCTCTGGCTCGCCAGAAGCGGCTTAGTCATGCTGGCCACATGACCCAGAAGCTGTACGCCAGCTCCTTCGGCCAGTAAAGCGAGATGAGCGCTGCAACCCCAGAGTCGGCCACGACTGGACCTAATGGTCAGGGGTCCCTTTATCTTTACCTTTAGGGAGTAGTTGGGATAACACCTAGGGATCTGAAATGTTTTAAGGACATTCCCTCCCATCCCAACCATAAGGGCTATTGGTCCTGTTTCCTTTTAGGTAACCACAGGATTCTTCACAATGGGAAGAAGTATGGCGCCACCTATTGGCAAATGCACAGCACAGTCCAGTGCTCCTCGCTGTATGTGCTGCTGATGAGCTGGGAGAAGATTGATGGCAGAAGATGTGTGTGTGTGTGTGTGTGTGTGTGTGTGTGTGTGTGTGTGTGTTTGTTTGCAGTGGGGCTGTTGATATTGATCAGAGAAGCAGTACTGGGGAGAGAAGGCATTTACCTTTCGCCACCCTCCCTATGAGGCAAATGTAAACAGCAATTGCTAAAGCTGCTTATTATCTAAAAATGTGTGTGTGTTTCTTTTTTGGAAGCATTGTGTGAGAAAAGGGGGGGGGTGCTTCTTTGAAGAGGGTGGTATTTACCCACAGGTTTCTTTAAAAAAATAAAATAAATTTTATCCAGGTTTATAGAGAAAAATACAAACCTTGATAATAATAGAATAGAATAGAATAGAATAGAATAGAATAGAATAGAATAGAATAGAATAGAATAGAATAGAATAGAATAGAATTTATTATTATTTATACCCTGCCCATTGGGCTGGGTTTCCCCAGCCACTCTGGGCGGCTTCCAACAAAGTATTAAAATACAGTGGTCTGTTAGACATTAAAAAGCTTCCCTAAACAGGACTGCCTTCAGATGTCTTCTAAAAGTCTGGTAGTTGTTCTTCTCTTTGACATCTGGTGGGAGGGCGTTCCACAGGGAAGGCGCCACTACCGAGAAGGCCCTCTGCCTGGTTCCCTGTATCTTGGCTTCTCGCAGCGAGGGAACCGCCAGAAGGCCCTTGGTGCTGGACCTCAGTGTCCGGGCAGAAGGATGGGGTGAAGACGCTCCTTCAGGTATACTTCCCTCCCCTCCCCCCTTTTTTTACCAAACCAGGACAGTTATCTAGATACAGTGGAACCTTGGTTTTTGAATGTAATTCATTCTGGAAGACTGTTCGACTTCCGAAATGTTCAAAAACCAAGGTGCAAAGGGTGGTCTGCGATTTCTTTCTTTCTTTCTTTTATTAATCTATATTAGTTTCCCACATAAACATATATGCATAGATAACAAGTCATACAAAGTAAAGCAATAAAAGGAAAGAGAAAAAGGAAAGGAAAATACAATATATTATAATTAGATAACAAGTTAAAATGTAAAACTTCCAATCATTCTCATTATACTGCTTATATTGCCTATGTTTTAGACATTTTTTAGATATCTTATTGGACTATATAAAAATAATATGAAATAATATAAATCTGTGCGAGTAAACATGCAATTTCAATGGATAAAATTGAAAAAACCTCAGTGGAAACTTCTGAGGCACGTTCGAAAAGCGAAAAGTTCAGCTTCTGAGATGCTCGAAAACTGAGGTTCCACTGTACAATTAAAAAGAGAAAGAGAAAGAGAGAAAGAGAGAAAGAAAGAAAGAAAGAAAGAAAGAAAGAAAGAAAGAAAGAAAAGAGGTTAAAAGAAAAAGATAGAAAAATAAGATTCAGAAATTAAAGAACTTTCTGAAGTATCGACCCACAATTTCGGAGTGTTAAGATAATTACATTTTTAAAACTAAAAAAAAATATCTGCTCCCTGATTAACTGGGGACTTCTTTAGTAAATCAAAAGTGCATAAATTGATTTATCAACTGAACACAGTCCCAGTGTATGCATCCATGAATCAACCCATAGCAGTTTGCTGTTGGGTATATCCATCATCATCTGCTTATTAGTATCTACAGCATAGCAGCCTGCCCTTTTCATTCCGTGCAAGTATATCCACTTTGTAAACAGCCACGATGGATTGAACAAAGCCTCTACCCAAAGGGAAATTATCGCATTTCTCTTCTGTACACCAGAGCCGTTTGTTTCCACTTGAGCCTGGGGGCAATAGCAGAGCCAAGTTGGAGCAAAGCCAGTTCCAGGTGGTTGGAGGCCCTGGGGCCAGAGACACCAGATTACTCCCAGATTGCCGGGCACATTTTGTGGGCGTGTGACGTCACACAATGTTGTGACATCTGGAGGAGGTCAATCGTTCTGGAGGAGCCGGCCACTGAAGCTGCGATGCCCAATGCGTGTGCCGTGCATGTCAGGCCTGTTAAGTTGTGGATGAACATATCAGACGACACAGCGATTCTTCCAACAGCTCTTGTTTATTCACAAGCCAGAACTGAACTGTACCAGCTCCATCTGGTACGCAGGCTGAGGCCCGCAGACTGTCTCGCCAGAGTGGTGCATGCTCTAGTTATCTCTCACTTAAAAGGTAAAGGGACCCCAACACCGGAATGAAATTCACGGCATGTAATGCCTTGAAGGAAAACATTATGAAAATGATATACCGGTGGTACATGACCCCAGTCAAGCTTGCTAAGATATACCACCTGTCTGATAACAAATGTTGGAAATGTAAAGAGGCGGAAGGGACATTCTTCCATCTCTGGTGGACCTGCCCAAAAGTGAAGGCCTTCTGGGAAGTGATTTACAATGAGTTAAAAAAGGTATTTAGATATACCTTTCCTAAGAAGCCAGAGGCCTTCCTCCTGGGCATGGTGGACCAGAAGGTGTCAAAGAAGGATAGATCTTTGTTCATGTATGCTACTACAGCAGCAAGAATCCTCATCGCAAAGTATTGGAAGACACCAGATTTACCCACGCTGGAGGAATGGCAGACACAGTTGATGGACTACATGGAACTGGCTGAGATGACTGGCAGAATCCGAGATTTGGGAGAGGAAATAATGGAGGAAGACTGGAAAAAATTTAAGGACTATTTGCAAAAACATTATAAGCTGTATGAATGTTAAGAATGTGTACGATTAGGAAACTTTTGCTTCAGCAACTTGAATAGGTGAATTGGAAACTAAGTTATAAGAAAGACGAGGTGGACAATATGAAACAACTATACTATGTTTATTTTTAAGGTACAAATAACGGAGATACAGTATTTTGAACTTAGAAACATAGTATTTGAAAGATACAGTAAGATATGAAATAAGGTAACAAATTGCTGATGTTTTAATTGCAAAAAACGCAGGGTTCGGAAGATGTGGGGAAGTCCAGTTGGAATGACAAAAGTATTTTGGAAAGTTGGTTTTTATTTATCTCTTTCTTCTTTTATCTTAATCCTTTATTCTTTATTCTGTAAACTTCTAACTGTTGGAAAGAAAATTTAATAAAATATTTTTAAAAAAAAAAAAGGTAAAGGGACCCCTGACCATTAGGTCCAGTCGCGGCCGACTCTGGGGTTGCGGCGCTGATCTTGCTTTATTGGCTGAGGGAGCCAGCGTACAGCTTCCGGGTCA